CAATGCACATTCCATTCAGCAGATGCTGGTTATGTGCTTGTTCTTTGCAGGCCCCTGGGGTTCCCTTTTCATCTTCTTCCAGTCCCGTCAGGCTTTCTGCTGAGTCTCTGTGGCAGGCCTTCCCTCCTTCCACCAGACCCAGGAGCTGGCTTAGGTGGCCTCCTGCCTTCAAGAGGGTTGAGAGTCTGGGGACCCAGACCCCAAACCTGGCTCTTGTCCTTACGTGCTGGCTCAGTGGACCTCTCCGCCCCTGCACTTGCTATTCTATCAGTGGAGCCCATGCTCTTCCAACCCCACATAGGCCTAAGGAAAACCCTGCGTAAACCCCAAGGCCCCATAGAAGGCTGAGCTGCCATCATCACGGCCCATCTGTTGCCAGGTGATGGACGAGGCTGACCGGCTGCTGGAACAGGGCTGCACCGACTTCACCAAAGACTTGGAAGTGATCTTTGATGCAGCACCAGCCCGGCGACAGACACTCCTCTTCAGCGCCACCCTCACTGACACGTTAAAAGTTCTCCGGGGAATCGCTTCTAATAAGCCCTTCTTCTGGGAGGCCCAGGCTGAGTGAGTGACACACTCTGTAAAGAAATGCCCCCAGGCTGAGAGGGACCTGCTGCTCATCTCCTATCTCCTGGCCCGATTCCCCCTTTCACTTGCTCTGAAGGGCCCACATACCAGATCTGGCCTCGTCTTAACTTATTCTGTCTCATCTCCCTTCAGCTCCTGCCTGGAAAGAAAAGGAGGGAAGATGATAAAATGGAAGGAATTGTGGACTGGGAGGCAGGACACTGGGTTCTGGGCTCTAGCCCTGGTGTGTGACAGTAATTGAGGCAGGAAAGGGTGTCCACACCTAGACCAGAAGAATCTGGGTGAATGAGGGAGCCTGTGCCCCTTGGGGCCCTCATCCTGGCAGCTCTCGCTGCCTTCCTAGGGCAGCCTCTTTTCCAAGTGCCTTCCCTCTACTCCATCACACTGGAGGGGAGCCAGGCCCCCAAGTGTCAGCCTTCCCCTTCACCGCTCTCAGGGTCCGCACTGTGGAGCAGCTGGACCAGCGCTACTTGCTGGTGCCTGAGAAGGTAAAGGATGCCTACCTTGTTCACCTGATCCAGACTTTTCATGATGAACATGAAGACTGGTCCATCATCATCTTCACCAACACATGCAAGTAAGTAGAGAGGTCATATCCTGACCTCCCCATGGCTTTGTGTGCAGCCTCCCTGATAAAGGGCCACCTAACACTTTCCATGATGGGAAATTAGCAAGACAGGAGCAGAGGTGGGGCTTTGGCTCTTCCCCCCTTAACTATACCATCTCTCTTAATAGTTGACCCTGTCACTGAGACCCCAGGGTGCCTTCAGAAAGCTGTTTTTTTCTTTTGAAGGACCTGCCAGGTATTGAACATGATGCTGAGGAAATTCAACTTCCCTTCTGTAGCACTCCATTCCATGATGAAGCAGGCAAGTAGATGGTGCTTTTGGGCCCGACTTCTTCCTGGCCTGTGGTGCCCTAGGAGGCTATCCTCCCCATCAGGGCCCATGTGCCTGGTCCAGAAAGATGCTCTCCCGAAACCCATCCCTGTTTCCTCCTTTTCAAACTGTACTCTTAGTGGGGGCTGGAGGCAGGTCCAGAGACGGGGAGTAAGGCGCCATGAGGCATCTCTTTCTCCCCAACAGAAAGCTCGTTTTGCTGCTTTGGCCAAATTCAAGTCTAGCGTCTACCGGATCTTGATTGCAACAGATGTGGCGTCCCGGTAAGAGGGAAAAGACCCCTGGCTAATGCAATGCCTGGGGTTCCAGTCTCTCCTTCTTGGCCTCTTCCCAACACACAGACCCTCAAGGCCACCAGGGAGAGCTGGGTTGGGAGACCTGGTTCAGGGGCAGTAGGAAGGTATTGGAAAGAGCTCCAGGTGGGGCCTTGATTTCTTTTTTTTTTTTTCCCTGAGGCAACTGGGGTTAAGTGACTTGCTCACACAGGGTCACACAGCTAGTAAGTGTCAAGTGTTTGGTCTGAGGCCAGATTTGAACTGGGGGCCTTGATTTCTAGTACTGACCTAGTCACTAACTCCTGTGACCTTGGCCAAGTGAGCACCTCTTTCTGGGCCTCAATTTATTCATCCATCAAATGGGGATAATCCTCCTTACAAAACTGTTGAGTTATTGGGGTTTCCATCCATTATCAAATGAGTTATTGGATAGAAAGGTGCTTTGAAAAGGGAGTAAAGTGTTAGAAAAGAGGCTATTGATAGAAAAGAGGTATTTATTCTGGTGATAACAAGGTTCTTGCCATGCTGTGGCCTTCCCTGTTCTCATTCCCAGAGGTTTGGATATTCCCACAGTGCAGGTTGTCATTAACCACAATACGCCAGGCCTCCCTAAGATCTACATCCACCGAGTAGGGCGGACTGCCCGAGCAGGTGAGCAAAGTAGGGTCTGAGGGTGGAGACACATGGAGGTGCGTGGGGCAGGACCTCTTTGGAATCCCTCAGCCCCAGCCAGCCAGGCCTCTGTTTGGTGTACAGAAGGGCCTTGGGCCATGGTGAGTAGTGGCCCCCAACAAACCTAGAGAGCCCTGCAGGTGCCAGAAGGGGAGAAAAAAGCCCCTTGGATTTCTGGGCTGGCTAAGGCGGGGAGCACAGGGGCCCACCCGTCCCCATTTGGTGACTCCTCTTGACCTCCTTTCAGGGCGTAACGGCATTGCCATCACACTCGTGACTCAGTATGACATACACCTGCTACACGCCATCGAGGAAGAGATCAGTGAGTGGATGCCCTGTATCTACTTGGGTTTGACACCCCTGAGGGCGCCAGCTTCCCCCACCTGGTGCCCTGGATCTCCAGGGAAGAGCCAGGGCTTCTCGGCCTAGCGCTCTCACTGCCTCTGACCCTCCCTTGTTCTCCACCCCCTGCAGAGAAGAAGTTGGACGACTTCAGCGTGGAGGAGGCCAAGGTCCTCAAGATCCTCACCCAGGTCAATGTGGTCCGAAGAGAGTGTGAGATTGTGAGTGTGCCCAGGAGCCTGGCAGGAGAGGGGCGGGCGGGCTGGGGCAGCTCCCAGCATCCTCAGGGGCCGGAAAGACTGCCAGGGAGTTGACTGCCTCCGCTCAGAGCAGGAAGCCCTTCTGGAGCTGCCTTGACAGGCGTGAAGAGGCCTCTGCTGGGGCCTGCCCTTCACCCGCCAGGCGGCCGGGCTTAGGGCCCGTGGGGCCTCCATTTCTTCATTGATAAAATGAGATCAGATGGGGACTAGATGTTTTCTGCAGTCTCTCCTGGCCCTGGCTTTTGGTGCTTGTAATTCTGTCTTGCTGCACTCCAAGGAGAAATAGAGGAGTTCACGATTCTCCAGGGTGTCTCCTCAGCCCCACTCCTGGCCCTTCTAATGTTTCCTTCAACTCTCCCTAGAAACTGGAGGCCACAGACTTTGATGAGAAGAAGGAGATCAATAAAAGGAAGCAGCTGATCCTGGAAGGGAAGGTAGGCACCCACCCATGGGGCCCAGGCCCGGGGCCCGGGGCTGGGGCCGGGGTGGGCGTGAGCAGCATCGGCCAGCTGGGGACCAGAAGAGGGGAAGGCTGGCATGTGACCCATGCAGGACCCAGACCTGGAGGCCAAGAGGAAGGCGGAGCTGGCCAAGATCCGGCAAAAGAATAAGCAGTTCAAGGAGCGTGTGATGCAGACCCTGCAGAGGCGGGCAGCCTTGAAACTGAAGAGGAAACGGCAGAAGCGGAAGCAGCAGCAGCAGCTGCAGCAGCAGCAGCAGCAAGAGCAGATGCAGCAGAAGCAGCAGAAACAGAAGCAGAAGCAGCAGAAACAGAAACAGAAGCAGAAGCAGAAGCAGCAGCAGCTGTCTCTGACAGCCAAGGGGAAGAAGTGAGGCCCGTGTCTCAGACCCTACGAGGGGCCCTCCCCGGGCCCAGAACAAACATCTGGGACCAGGACCCTCGCCCCTACCCTTTGCACAATGTTGGGATGGGGCCAGAGCTGGAGGGTACCTGGCTCCAGCCACAGTTGTTCCCTTTGACCAGCCTCCAATAAAAGTATTGAGTTCTACGGTTTATCACTTCTGCGTGTACTACTTGGCACTGCTAGGGGCAGGAGAGAGGATGGGGCAAAATGGAGAATACCAGACTAGGAGGTAAAAGGCACCGATTCTAATCCATTTTACCCCTGCAAATATTACTTGCAGAAATAACAGGAATTGAGAAGCAGGGGATGATTTGAACAAAGGAATCAACAAAAGAACGAAAGTACAATATAAGCAGTGACTACAGTAGTATTAATGAGAAAATCCTTTAGAAAGGAAGCTAAGGTCCAAGTAATCAAAACCAATACTGCTCCTAGAGATGAAGGGATGAAAAATGCTGCGCTTCCCTTAGCGGCAGGGTGGTGGCCGTCTCTAATGGAAGATTCCATCAACCTCAGGAGTTTTCTTAACTCTTGCAGTCAAAAAGCCACAGAAAATATTCTGAGGTAAAAATTAAAGGCACCAAGAAAACTTGTTGAAAAGATACCGAGGGGCTTAGACCAGAGAGGGCTCTTAACCTTCTGTGGCGATCTGACCTGCAAAACCTATGGTCCCCTTCTCAAATAATGATTTTAAATGCTGAAAAAATTACAAAGAAAATCAATTATTTCAAAATAAAGATGTAATTTTTCCTATGTTCATGGACTCAAGGTTAAGAACCCTTGGTCTAGACGGTCTGCATTGCATTAGTTCTTCCAGTCTCTGTTTCTGGGCCTGTTCCTTTTCTCTAGGTTCTGATTTGGGGGCGATTGAGGAGGGAACTTGGTTATTGCCCAGGACGTTGTATGGCCCTACCCAGGGGACACCGAGAACACTGGCTCTGTCCTTTGTGTGTGGGGGGTGGGGGTGGGGCTGGAACAGCTCCAGACCCCTTCTCTTCAAAGTGTGCCAAATAATAACCCTCGGAACCTTCCGTAAAGATGTGGCGACTGGGTGAATAAACGTGAATTGAGTAAGCAACAGGCAAAGAGGCACAGTAAGTTTAGAAATTTAATTTCCTTGGACAGACATTGCCCAGATACTAAAAAACCTACAAATTTGAAATCTCACAAACGAACCCTCCCCCGCCACAACTGTCCTCCCTGGCACCTCCCCCCACCCCTGCCCCTTCCATGTGTTCTAGAAGAGGAAGCCAGCTGCCCCTCCCAGCAATAGTCCTGCCCGGGTCCCTCCACTCAGACCACCTTAACTAATGGGGAGAGCAGCTGGAATTAGGGGCTTGCCCCTCCTTGCGGGCATTTACTATCCCAGCCTGGGGCGTCCCCTTCATGCCAGCTTTAGGGGAATGACCATTTCTAGGGCATTCAGGGCTGGATGAAGATGTTGAGTGAACTAGGTTCCTGCCCTTCCTCCCTTCCTGGGAGGGGCCAAAGCTCGGAGGAGTTCTCCAGTCCTAGCAGGGTTGCCGCCCCCACACCCCCAATCCCAGCCCATCTGGACATGCCCCAGCCTGAGGGTCTGAGTCAGAGCCGAGCTGCTGTCTCTTGTCTCTGGTCTCCCTCCTCCTGTGACTCAGATGCCTAAAGGCGGTCAAGCCTGGCTGGACGGGCTTGGAGCTCTGAGCCCAGTGTCCCTGCCAGAAGCTGCAAGGGCTGAGGGAAGGACTGCTTTAAATATAAAACTACTGGAAAAAGAAATGCAAATATCCCACCCCCCTACAAAAGCCATGCCCCATTACCCACCACAGAGCCCATCTTGGCCAGGTCTGGAGGCTGAGGAAAGCATCCAGGCTCCCCCACCCTTGGCCCAGCTGCCCCATCCCACAGCCGGTCACGGGGCGCCATCAGCCAGCCGGGCCAGGCCCTGGCGCAGCTCGCTCAGCTCGCAGATCTTGACGTCCAGGAGCTCGGTGGCCCGGAGCACCTCGGCCCGGGCTCGCTCCCGTTCCCCCCGGGCTTCCTCCAGGCTGCGCTGGGCGCCCTGGAGCTGCCGCTCCATCTCGGTGTACCGGCTCTCCAGCTCCTGGGGGAGTGGGGTGGAGGGACGTTGGCATCACTGCCTCCAAGAGGCATAAGGGGCTCCCCACCCCCCAACACGGAGTCCAGCGGAGCCTGGGAGCTGAAGTCACAGGGTGGGTACATGCTCTGGCACATGGAGCCTTCCTCACACCTACCAACATCTCACCCTTGCTGTGCAGGGTTTCTCGAGGAAAACACCTCTCTGGTCTGGGAGTCAGACCTGGGGTCAAGTCCTGCCTTCTGTCACAAACTCCCTCCGGGGCCTTGAGCAGGTCCCCTCCCCTCTCGAAGTCTCTCGTCCAGCCACCACTCCCCTCACTCTAAAGGCCCCCTACCCCTTCAGTGTGTCTGACTGATTCTACTCACAGCGTGGTCCAGTGGAGACAGCACTGAAGACCTCAGTTCAGATCTAACCTTTGACATTTACTCCCTGTGTGACTTAGGACCAATCACTCTGGGCCTCAGTTTCGAGGCCCCTTCCAGCTCCAGATCTGGGTCTTAGTTTTCCCATGTGTACAAGGGGCAGACTGGAGCATCAGTAACAAGTGCCACGAGAGACAGGCACTGTTAGGGAGCCCCCAGCCTTTCAGGCCCTGCCCCCCGGTTCACCTTAAGTTTCTGGAGGGCCTCCTCCCGGTCCCGTTCAGTCTCTGCTTCCCGATGACTGCCCTTTTGGCTCTTCAACATCTGGATCTCCTAAGAGTGGGAGGGGTGGGGTTTGGGAGTCAGGGTTGAGGGTCAGGTGTCTGGTGCAAGGGTCAAAGGTCAGGGATGAAGAAGTTAGGGGATTAGAGAAGCAGTAGGACCGATGCCAGAGGAAGACTCCCTGGCCTGGGAGCTCCACCCAGGTTGACTGTGTGACCGCCTGCACCTGGTTTCCCCTTTGGGCCTCAGGCTACCCCACTTCAAAATGGGAATAATACTAATAATATACACTGCCTATGTCATCCGTAGGGTCTAAATAAGACTCAATAGCTGGGGAAAGTGAAGATGGGAAAGGGAGAGGTCACAGGCCCATCCCCACTGCTCTACACCCCTCCTTTTCCAGGCACACGCACCTCATCCTTGGTCTTAATTAGCACCTCCAACTCCTCCAGCCTCTGGCTCAGCCCATCCTTCCCGCTCTCCCCGGGTGTCTCCGAGGGTCCCTGGGCCTCAAGCTCAGCCACCTGCAAGGCAGAGGGTGCTGGGGTCCGGCCTACTCCCCCTTCCACCTCTTCCTCTCACTATACCCCCCCACACAATATATGCCCATTTTTGTTCCGTCTCAGATGAGAAGCTCCGAGGGCAGGGGTTTTCCTGGCTTGTGGGGGCCCAGAGCAGGGCAACACTCACAATTCTTAGGCCTGGGGCAAATTCAGCTAAGTTGGTAGGGAGTGGGCTGCCCCAGGTAGAGTCAAGTTGAGAGCCGGTCCTCTGGAGTGCACAAGGGGCCCCTGGGGCACAGTTAACCTTATCAGCTCCTGGAGAGGAGAGGTAGCAGCAGGCCCGAGACCCTAGACAGGGATGGGCAGAGGGTCCAGAGAAGCCCATGGGAGGCCCACATCTTCTGGACGTCACACATCTTGTGGCAAAGGCCCTGCCTTCCGGGCTTTCTCTCAGAACCAGGCCTCGCTCACTGCTCGCTCTGGCCTCGCCTACCCGAAGCCTAAGCCGCTCAGTCTCCTCCTGATAAGCCTCCAGCTGCTCCTTCCACCGTTCCACGTTGGTATTGGCCTCACGGAGGGCAGCCACCAGCTTGTTGTTATTGTCCTGAAGGGTGAAGAACTCTGCTTCCCACTGCACCTCGCCCACAGAGCTGGGGAGACATGGGGAGCAGTGGGGAGCAGGCCAGGGGAAGGCCTGTGCTACCACCCTGGGTCAAGAGGGAGGGGACATGTGTGAGGGTGTATCTCAGTGTGTATGTGAGATGTCTCAGTGTGTATGTGAGATGTGTGCACGTATGCGTGTGGGGGTAGGTGTGCAGTGTATGTGTATGCGAGTGTGAGGTGTCTATGTATGGGGGTAAGTGTGTAGTGTGTGTGTGTGAGGTGTCTATGTATGGAGGTAAGTGTGTAGTGCATGTGTGTGTGAGTGTGAAGTGTCTATGTATGGGGGTAAGTGTGTAGTACATGTGTGTGAGTGTCAGGTGTCTATGTATGGGGGGATAAGTGTGTAGTGTGAGTGTGAGGTGTCTATGTATGGGGGTAAGTGTGTAGTGCATTGTGAGTGTGAGGTGTCTATGTATGGGGGTAAGTGTGTAGTACATGTGAGTGTGAGTGGTCTATGTATGGGGAGTAAGTATGTAGTGTATGTGAGTGTGAGGTGTGTATGTATGGGGGTAAGTGTGTAGTGCAAGTGTGTGTGAGTGTGAGGTGTCTATGTATGGGGGGATAAGTGTGTAGTGTGAGTGTGAGGTGTGTATGTATGGGGGTAAGTGTGTAGTGCATGTGTGAGTGTGAGGTGTCTATGTATGGGGGTAAGTGTGTAGTACATGTGAGTGTGAGTGGTCTATGTATGGGGAGTAAGTGTGTAGTGTATGTGAGTGTGAGGTGTGTATGTATGGGGATAAATGTGTAGTGCAAGTGTGTGAGTGTGAGATGTCTATGTATGGGGGATAAGTGTGTAGTGTGAGTGTGAGGTGTCTATGTATGGGGGTGTGTACTGTATGTGTGTGTGAGTGTGAGGTGTCTATGCATGGGAAGATAAGTGTGTAGTGTATGTGAGTGTGAGGTGTCTATGTATGGGGTAAGTGTGTAGTGCATGTGTGTAAGTGTGAGGTGTCTATGTATGAGGGTAAGTGTGTAGTGTGTGTGTGTGAGTGTGAAGTGTCTATGTATGGGGGGTTAAGTGTGTAGTAAATGTGTATGTGAATATGCAGGGGTATGTGCATGTATGGAAATTTGAGTGTGTGAGTATGAGTGTGTGAATACGTATGTAAGGTATCTGTATGTATGTGTATATGGGATAAGTGTGCAGTATATGTTTGTGTGTGAGTGTAAGGGGGTATGTACATGTATAGATATCTGAGTATGTGTATATGTATGTGAAGTGAGTCTACATATGTGAAGGGGGTAAATGTGCAGTGTATATGTGTGTAAGTGAGGGTGTATGTGCATGTATGGATATGAGTGTGTAAGTATGAGTGTGTGAATATGTATGTGAGGTATCTGTATGTATATGTGCATGGGATAAATGTACAGTGTATGTGCGTGTGAGTGAGGGTGCATGTGCATATATGGATATCTGAGTGTGTGAGTATGAGTGTGTGTGAATATGTATGTGAGATGTGTGTACGTATGTGGGGGTACGTATATAGTATATATGGAGCGTGAGGGTCTGTGTGCATATATGGAAATCTGAATGTGTGACTATATGAGTGTGTATATGAGTGTGTATGTGAAATATGTGTATGTATGTGTGTGAGGGATAAGTGCACAATATATGTGTGTGAGTATGAGGGGGTATGTACATGTATGGATACCTGAGTATGAATGTACGTGAATATGTATTCGAGGTGCGTCTATGCATGTGTGTGGGTTAAGTATGCATGTGCACATACATGCAGTATATGTATGTGTGAGTACACAGGTGTGTGTACA